GTCAATTAATATTTATAAATTGAAAAACTTATTAATTTCGAATAAATGTAAAGTGCGGAAGTGAATTAATAAAACTTCTTTAGTTTACATAAAAATTTCATAATATATGCAATTTATTATTTCAGTTACTTTACTAAGATATATATATTAATTGACAGTAAAATTTTTGACTTAATATATACTGTAGCAATTATATTTTAATTTTGTTTGGTGGCAAATTCCGATTGGCTAAAGGGCATTGGAATATCAATTAACACATGTTAAATGACCTTCTAAATCATTTGGGCCTCAAAATAACCCAATGACTAGTCATTTGTTATTGGGTCATTTGGGTCATTTTAGATTATTTACCATCACTGCTTCTATCTCCAGCTTTCATAGCATTCCAATCTAATAGCCCAGGAGGTTGAGTCTGCCAAACCTTTGGTTTATAGTCACCTCAACCCTGGTATATACTTCCATAGTGTATATCCTTTTCCTCCAGTTTGTACTCTGGTGGTCTTAGTTGGTTTTCCTTATGAGGGTATATTGTACCCTTCTCCTCTTGAGAGTACTTTGTACCCTTACTCTTGAGGGTTCTTTATACTCTTATTTCTGATTCAAGTATCTGTTTTTAATTTCAGCTTTTTTTATAGTATTGTTGAAGGTTTGTATTACCTCTTTACTCAGATTTTCTCAAGCTGGTTCCTGATCTTTTAGTTCTTTTTTGGTTTTCTATAGTCCCAGAAGGTTTATTGTAGGTTTGTACCATCTATTCCAGTTTGTATTCCTCTATGCAATCTGGTATCACACAAATACTTCTAGAATCTTCTGGTGAACAAATACACCAGTTTAACTAGAGTTATAAACTCTAGAATCTGACTAATCAATGAATATTAGTTACTATAATACAAGGTAATTATTCAAAATATTGCTAGTAGGATTTGAATTCTATACCTTTAGTTATAAGAAGCTTGGGTGACAACATATTAGGTTGTCACACCTTCTTATTAATAATTTTTGTTTAAACAAATAGTAGATATTTTTATTGTTATAAATAATATATTTGCAAAATATTAAGACAATTTTTTTGATTTATTCTTTTACAAATAGCAATTGTTTCTTTACAGAAACTTAAAAATCTTAATATGCAGTAACTATGTAATAATTACATAGTAATTATATAATTACTATTAAATTTAATAATAATCATATAGTTACTATGCAGTTACTATATATTAAGAGATTCAAAGTTTCTGTATAGTTTTTTTTTAAATTTGGAATTTGTTTAGATTTTGCTAGCAAGTATAAGTAAAATTTATTAAAAAAATTTTTATTAAATTTTATTAAGTAGTTATTAAGAACTTTTTATTCAAAGTTTAGAAAAATTTTTGCTATAACTATTAAGGGCTTTGAAAACTTTTTCAAACTTTAAATAAAAATTTCTTAACAACTATCTAATAGAATTTGTTAAATTTTTTTTTTAATAAGTTTTATTAATTTGTAGAATTGATTTAAAAAAGGTTTATTAAATTCTATTAAGAAATTTTTGTTTAAAATTTGGAAAAATTTTTCTTGTAGCTATTTTTTTAGCAAAAATACTATTTCTAATAGATTATTAGTACTGTTCCTAATGGGATGAAAAAAAAACAATTTACATACGGTTTCTAATAGGGCTCTAAAAACTAAACTACTATCAAAATATAAGCTATTGCATAAAAATTTGGCAGTCCACTATTGCCCAACCAGGTTATAAAATCAATGTATAACATAAAATTAAAAAAAAACAAAAATAAAGCTTTTTAACCCAAATTTTCTTACTAGATTCATGCAAAATAACACCTATAGTTATTATTTAAGATATTTAGTTCAAAGAAAGCTAATATTTAATTAATTATAATTTTAATGTTAATAATTTTTTTGCTAAATTAATTATTAGCTCTCTTTAAATTATTTATCCCAAATAATGTCTATAAAAGTTTTTTATATAAATATAGTACTGTATTATTTTAAAACCAATATTTAGAAAAGTTGAAATTAATATTGTAAATCAACTACAAACCAAGACTTAGTATTCACATTATGACTAAACATCATCATGAGAATTAACTTTAGGGTTCCTTTAAGAACTCTATTAGGAATAGTATATAAATTGAATTTTTTTTCATTCTATCAGGAACAGTACTGATGATCCACCAGGTATAATATTTTTGTATTTTCTTGAGATATTAAAAATTTTCACAAGCTTTAAATAAAAATTTCTTAACAACTATCTAATTGAATTTGAAAATTTTTTTTTTTTTAATAAATTCTATTAATTCACAGAATTTATCTAAAAAAATTTTATCAAATTCTATTAGATAGTTATCAAGAAAAATTTGTCCAAAATTAAGAAAATTCTACTTTGATACAGTAGTTTGATATATATATATATTACATGATTATTTGTTATATACAAAATTGCATAACCAGTATATGTCTATAGACCAACTAGATTTAGCTATTAAAGTTATATGACAAAAACACTAATATATATGATTGAACAAAAACCAGCTAGTGAAAGTTCATTTTGATTGGTTCTTAAAATACCTCAGAAAAAATGTAGATCATTCTCCAAATAAAGTATTGGCTATGCCAGGATAAAATTTTATTGCTTACAAAACTTTAAAAATACTTTCTAAAGATATATATTATAGTCTTACAATATATTAATTTGGGGTTATAACTATTTGTATTTTAAATATATATAATATTATTTCATTTTACAATAAGTATATTATTTATTTTACAGCAAATACTCTAAGTTTTGTGATACATTCTGTTAAATAAAACAATATACAAGAACATTTTTTAAACACTACTATTATAAAATATATTTATAAACTACTCATAACCTAAATATAATAAAAAGATAGAGTTTGAAATATTAGTTTCAAATCCGTAATCTTTTTACTTATGGAAAACAAAGTAGAACTACATAGTTGAAACAAAATCTTGCAGCTTTCACTTACTAATTGCTTAGATTGCCAAAATACCTTACGATCTTTCAAAACCTTCACTTATTTAGTTTCTCAATCTTTTGCATCCTATTGCATCAGTTGTTAAAAAACAGTAGGTTTAAAGTAAAAGAACGATATGTTAAGTTGTAATATTTAGGTACTACAAAAAAAATATATTTATATGTCGTGACTATCTTTACTTATTAAAATTACTTTAAAAATTACAATTGGCAATATAAAAAAAAAGATCTTCGCCAATCAAATTTATTCTTAATTCGGCCAATCGAAACGAACTTCCACTATGCTACAAAAACCAATTTGGTTTATGCAAAATGCATTGAGGCGTTCTAGCACATAAAATTATTATATTGTCTAAATAAAGAACTTTTCGGAGTTTTCATCGAACTTTCGTTTTAATCTCTCAATTTCAAGCTATTGAAGAGTTTTTCCTGTTTTCAAATATATTCATTAAATCAAGAGCCAGAAAAATATACAAGTTTTAAATATTGAAGAAATACTTAATTTATATAGAACAAAAATGTCAGAGAAAGCATGTAAGCTAGCGTGTTAATAATGATTTGAATACTTAGTTGAAATACGTATTAATGATGAATGTTTATATAATATTAGTGGTTGATTATTCAGAGTTGGAAGAGTATCTGAAAAGTATCGGGATAAAAAGCTTTGATTCCTCGCAATTTAGTGAAATAGAAATAATTGGACGAGGAGGATCTGCGATCGTGTATTCGACTATTTTTCAGAAAAAGAAATGTGTTCTAAAAAGTTTAAATAATAACCTGCTGTTGGATGTAAAAAGATTTAAACAAATTAAACGTGAGGTAATGAATTATTCATTATTATTCTATATTTTATTTATTTATTTATTTTTTTAACATTAAAATTAACAATTTCTGCATAATAAAAAACTGTGCACAGCTTAAATACTTGCATAAAGTTCGTCATCCAAATATTATTGAACTCTATGGAATTTCAAAAGGTATGTGCATATATTATGAATGTCCAAATTTAAAAAATTTATAGTATATTTATATATTTAAATTATAAAATATACAATTATCGGATAATTTAGATTCACGAACCGGTAATTTCATGCTGGTATTACAATTTGCAAACGGAGGAAATTTACGGGATCATTTACAAAAAAGGCAATATGATAATATTTATAAAATTTCATGGATTGAACTCATCCAAATCGCAAAAGAAATTACTCTTGGATTGAAACATTTACATATTAATGGCATCATCCATCGTGACCTAGTGAGTTTTTATTTTTGTGTTAAATTTTAATATATATTTTAACTTAAAATTTAATATTAATCCTAAATTTTAATTATAAAAATTTTTCTAGCATTCTAAGAATATTTTAATAAATGATGGAAAAGCCTTAATCGCAGATTTTGGAATATCGAAACAATTAAATGATACTGCCGAATCAAGTTCAAATACAACAGGCATGATAGCATATACTGACCCACGATACCTCCTTCAATGTAAAGTTAGCCGCGACGAAAAATCTGAAATTTACCTCCTCAAAGATAAAGTTAGTCGTGATGAAAGATCAGACATTTATAGTCTTGGAGTATTGCTATGGGAACTTACAAGTGGAATTCCACCGTTTCATGGTCTTAACATTGCGACCATAATCTTAGAAATTTCGCAGAATAAAAGAGAGAAAATTATTGTCAATACACCATCAGATTACGCCAATCTCATCGAGAAATGTTGGTCATCTGATCCAGATCAACGTCCAACACTAGATGAAATTTTGATAAAACTTGAGAATTTATCAAATAAAACAACTATTGAATTTATAACAAATGAAAACATCAAGAACAATCAACAAATTGTGCAACCAGAGTCAAATAATGAAGATTCATTAAATTTCTTTAATTGTAGGACTGAAACTACATGCAAACGTCATGATGGTAATTAACACATTTCAATATTAAAGATAATTATTATCAGCATTTATTATAATACGTTTTTATTTAATCAATCCTTTAATAACATGATATTTTATTTAGAATCCAACCCAAAAGAAGAGTCACAAGTATTACCTGTCTCGTATTTATCCAATAATCATAATATTGGTAGAATATCTGCACATAATTATTTTGTTTCATTTTAATTATTTGCGATTTTATTAAGATTTCTTTTATTATTTAGATGATAAAATTGAATCTAACAACGACGAACACTCAAATGATATCTCTAGCGATTCAAGTAAGCTAGATGAAGTTATTCTGGATAACGCACCTAAAACCTCAAATATGGACATACAATCACTCACTAGTTCTGAAGAAATATTGAAAGCTATACGAACTTTATCTAACCTCATAGACGAATTGTGGAATTTTTTTATGATTTATTTTTTAAACACTGGACTTTTGTTGG